TCTCAAAAGAAAAACTTGGCAAATCCTCTCATATCTCTCCATGTTTATGTACTTAAAAATTTGGTTAACTGCATTCTATATGCATTGCAGCATCTTTTCTTTGTGGTAAGACTTTCTTCATTTATTATTTTTTATGTAATGCAAGTGACCTACAAAAGCTTATCATAATCAAGGCTTTGAAGAGGACAGTTGAGGTTGGTAATTGAAAATGAACTGGTACTGACTGTCCCAGACTCTTTCTATTTCAGCACCTTTTATCTCCTGCTAGGAGCCCTGAAATGTTGCTCTTGTTTGTGTTCCAAGCAGCAGCAATCAAAATGAGGGGAGGGACAGGCAAACTGAAATAAATAGGCTGTAGAGACAATTTTTGTTTTGATCAGATTCTGTTGTCTGTGTGAAATGGAATCATTTCTCTGGGGCACTCAGATGCATTGCCCAGCAGGAGAGAAGCCCTTAGGATAATACCAGTTCCACATACATGAGAGTAATAAGTATCTGTCATTCTTCTTTCCAAAGAACACCACACACACACACTTGCATACACATATGCACTTGCATATTCACATAAGCCTGCCACTGCACACATGCATAGTCATATATTCGTACCACATGCACATGGATCATGTACACTCATGATAAATAAATGAATAAGTCTACCAATCATACCATTAGGATCTTCAAAAGCAGTCTAAGAGACCTCTGCTCAACAACATGGCAATATATAGAACTACAACTATGATTTTTCTTACCTGTCACGGAACTGAAACATGCCATTACATTTCATGCTAATCTGTGCCAATATGGTGGCATAACCTGAGAATTCTCAGACAAATGTACTATATTTTAAAACAATGAGTTTGAAAAAACAAAACATAAGGCCAGCAACGTAAATATTTACTGTCTGATTGGCCTTTTGGGTTTTGCTTTCTTCAACTTTTTTCCTGTCTCACCCAGCTCTTAGAAGTGTTTTGTATGCTCCTTTATTTTCACTGAGCATTATTAAATTGACTAGCATCCTGTTAGCTAGAAAGTTCTCTGTGATGTCAAAGAGGTTTCTCTATAGTAATATCATCAGGGTTATTACCATTAATAGTCATGACATTGAAAGAGATTTCCTGGAAGAATCAGCCACAGGTACTGCTAGAAGGGAAGCCAATTAACTTCCGTTCTATAGTAATCATATCTTATAAAATATAACAATTATGTTGTATTTTGAGAAGTTCTGATGGTGTCCAAGGAGTTAGAACATTTTGTAGTTATGTTTATAGTGAAAAGGCTGAGGCTTTTAAATACTGCAATGTTTGGTAAAAGTCATTCAAGAAATTAAGTGACCAGGCAAGATATGCTCTTTTATGACACGTCTGTTTGTGTCATGCTCATTTTCTATTGGGTTCCTTGTTTTTCCTATGTTATGTTGCTTTATATATGAGTCCATTGTGAGTTTTATGTAATATGCACACACACATACACATACATACAAGGACTCTTGTGTTATATGTATATATATATACGGCAAATTTCTTCTACTCTGGTTTATTTTACAGTCTTAATGCTGTTTTGATAAACTAAAGCTGCTAATTTAAATGTTTCCCAGATTTCTAGTCTTTTTCCTAATGGTTAATGTTTTGCTTTTCCTGTGTAAGAGATGTTTGCTTAATGATGTGAAGGTCTTTTTCCATGTTACCTTTCAAATGTAGTTCTATAATCTACCTAGAATTTTTATTTTTAGTATAACAAAAATCCTTCAGTGTAGTTCTACTATTTTAACCCTGAAAATATTTTCAAATTGAAGTCTAAAAGAAGGTTTTTGTTAGATATGAAATTTTACATTAATATTATTTTCTTTAAGCACTTTAAAGATATCATTACATTGTCTCTGGATTCCATGATTTTTATTGAGATATCATCTATAATTCCTATTGTTGCTATTTTTAACTGAATCCTTCTTTACTCACTAAATAATTTTATAGTTTTTCTTTAACCATGATTTTCTGCAGTTTTATAACGATTGACTTCAATGAGGTTTGCTTTGCATTAATTTTGTTTGGGGATCATAATACTAATTCTTCTCTGTATCTTTCATCTTTAATATTCTTTATATTCTAAATTAGCTTTCAGTTTATGAATGATTTCTTCATCTGTGTCTTATTACTGCCACATCTGCCTATTGAATTCTAAACTTCAATTATATTTTTCAGTTCCAGAATTTATATCTGACTTTTTTTATGCAGTGTTTAGTCCAGTTATCTGATAAACTTCTTTGCCATGAGAATTCACCTTCTTGTCACTCAATTCTTAAACACATTAACCATATTTTAAAGTTGTATCTACAAGTAATATCTCTAACATGTCTCTGTATATCATTTCATTGTCTTGGTTTTCAGTGATCCATACTTGTTCTCCTGGGATGACTGGTATTTTGTATTGAATGCTAGACACTATGTGTGAAAAACTGTAGTGATGACTTGAGCCTCTGGATGACTTTATCTTCTCCCAGAGAGGATTTATGTTTGCTGCTTAAAGGCTGGGAGGATTGAGCAGAGCACTGAAGTCTAGTCAGAGATTAGGTTGATTAAAAGTTGGTCTTCAGATTTTTTTAAGAACTGGTCTATTTCAAGTTCATGGCCTGCAGAATATAACCCTGCAGGGGAATCCCATAGAAAACTTGAGGTACTTATCAGAGCACCTCTTTTTTGGTGGGCCTTGACCTTCAAGTTTTGGCCCTCTCCCCCCATAAACTTCATTAAAAAAACATCTGGAAGCTCTGTTAAACTTCTTTGTACATGTGGAATGTCAAGTTCACCATTTTTCACCTCTTCAGACTCCTTCAATGGCTCTGTAGTGCCTTAAAATAATTTCTCAAATCTGTTCAATGTCTCTATTCTTGATGGGAGTATTACCCTACATTATGATAGTCTACTTTAGGCAGAAATCTCTTTCTTAGTGTAATCTTACCTTGCATTTTTTTTTCATTAGTAGCAAAGTGAATCACGTTTTCACATAACTGCAGGCAATTCTTATTTTTAACTAACTTCCTGTTAGATTTCTTGCTCAGTATTCTATCCAATTCTTAATATTTACCTCTATTTTTTGGAAGTACTTTATATATCAAAAATATAGACCTACCTTTCTCTATGAAAAAAGGTATAAATATTTTTCAATTTATATTTCTTTTTTAAAACATCTCTTATGGTATTTTTTTCCACCCCAAAGTCTGTGTTTATATAAAGTCAAATATTCCATTTTTTTTTTCTTATTTCTTCTGTTTTGAGGGATACTTAGCAAAGATTTCCTGCTCTCGGGCTTAGAAAAATATCCGTCAGTGATTTCTTCTGTAATTGTGTCTTTAAGGAATATGTTGATGAGCAATTGAAACATTGTCTATTTTCTAGAATTGACAGTGAGAAAAAATATGATGTTAAGTCTAGCTGGAAGTTTCAAGTTTTGTTTTCAGTTTCCCAACCTCATCCTCAGGAACTAGTGAAAGAAACTCACGGACATAGTCACTCTAATGTTGCCCTTGTAGGACTTGGCTGTCCAGGAGTCATTTTTTCTTATGTTATCCCATTCCTGATTTTTCTCATCTACTCTCATGCCCTCAATGATATGACATTATTCTGTATTGAAAAGTGAAAGTGTTAGGCACTCAGTTGTATATGACTTTGCAACCCCATGGACTGTAGCCCACCAGGCTCCTCCATCCATGGGATTTTCCAAGCAAGAATATTGGAGTGGGTTGCCTTTCCCTTCTCCAGAGGATCTTCCCAAGCCAGAGATCAAAGACAGCTCCCAAATTCCCACACGTCTGATTCTCAGTTTTACTCCTCAGCATTAGATGCAAAGCTTGTTTGGTATCTGCACTTAAATGAGCCTGCACTTCAGTCCTCAAATATAGAATGACTTTCTGCACTGTTAAGTGCTGACCTTCCAAACTTCCCTCTACCCAGGCCAAGATTAGTCACCTTACTTCTTGATTCTCAGCTTCAGTAAATCATTACCCAAAGTGCACATTCCATGTATCTGCCTTTGAAGAGATTATACACTGGATCTTTCCTAGATTTGACTCTTCACTAACAGGAAGATCAGACTGAATATACTCTGAACACACTCTGGACTCAACAGGTACTCATGTGCTAAAACTCAATCTAATATTCTATTTTTAAATACAGAAATAATAAAACTTTGAAGTTATGGGTTTTTCCAGTACTTTATTTGTATTTTCAAATGCCCTGGCTCTTCAAGCTGTGAAAACATAATAGATATCTAAGAAGCAAATTTTCTCACAAAAAGAAAAATGGATGTTAACTAGACTTATTATAGTGATCAATTTTTAATATGTACAAATATCAGATCATGCAAAGCAAAAGAAAAACAGTGTCCTTACAACTACACTTAAGTATGTTATATAGCTTCAGCCACAGTGAATGGAGGATGAGTCTTATGAAGTTGTGTGAGTAGAGAAAAATTACAACGGAAATTAACTAAAGACTGGATTCTCAGTAGTCCAAAATGGTAGCATCTAAGGATGTCTTCTAGGGGAACAACTGAGACATTCATTTGTGTTTAAACAAAAAAAAAAACCTCACTGCCAGGAGAATGAATCTTTCTGCTTTCAGGCATGCCTAAGGCAAAATAGATTTTCTGTTTTTACTCTCTTCAAAGTTAAAGCCACATAAACTCACACACAGATTTCCCCAAATTCAAATTGTGGGTTGTTCTGATTAAACCAAGTTTCCCTGCTTTCATGTTACCTGCTTTCTAATTTGAGAAACTGTGCGTGTATGTATGTGATTATTTCACAAATTAAAGAGAATTTAGAATATGTCAGCACTGAAGTATTTGAGCAACTCAACCTACTATTTCCTCCTTTAACCTCTTCTGCAAAAGAAATTCAATCCCAGGAGTATTTTTAAATTGAAGAGTGCAATGGAGGGTGACAGAACAGTTGGCAGTCAGGACATCCTAATTCTCTATTGATCAAGGCCCATCTTCTTCTTCAGCTCAAGGCGGGAACAGACCCAGAGATCCTGTGAAAAGCGAAGGCTCTGGTGATACAGAGAGCTCTACAAGTCCTGATGGTAAGTTTCTGAGCTATTTGAGTCACCGAAACTATAAACCTGGAACACTTTCTCTGTGTAATCTAGGATTAAAGGAGCTATTCTATGAATCAACATGTTCGGTTTGAACAGAGTAAAGTTCAAAAACCGCTTTTCACTGGGAATTGGCAAAATTGACAGCCCATTTAAAAAAAAAATAGCATGTGCCTCAGTTTAATCTTACTTCACGGTACCAAGGGAACGGTGGGTCATGCCAAGGCTAAACTGAACCGCAGTCTAGCTGGTGAACACTGTGGGACTACTCAGCATTCAGAGGAGCCCTGGCTTGAATCTGGGCTATTCTTAAAATTTCATGACTCCACCTCACTGTATCACATCACATGGCTTGGCCAGAAACATAGTGAGTCTTTAAAAGCACTTCATCAATTTCCGAAAACCGTTCTTGAGTCCTGTCTCATTTTGAAGGCATCTAAAGACTGTGAGCCTCAGGAATATTATCACCTTGCCCCTGCACAATGACACAGGAAACCCTCTGAGATAGCATCATTTGCATTAGAAAAAACAGCTATTTAGGCACACATGATTTCTAAATATTCAATTCCATTTGCCCACAGAGCTTAGGAGAGCCAGAATTGTTGGCCAGTTATCAACATGTATATATAAAATCTTGCAGTTTGGGTTGATAATGACCTTGAGAAAATTTCAGCCACTGTTAGAAGTTACTTGGTACTTTTAAACAGTTTCCTACACCATGCATTCCACCCTGCTATAGGCATGCCCTCATCTTAGTTGACTCCCTTAATTATAAGCTCTTCTGCGCCAACTGACTTATAATTTAATTTTTTAAAAATTATCCAATTTTAAGGGTTACTTTCCATTTATAGTTATTACAAAATATTGGCTGTATTCCCCGTGTTCTACAAAACATCTTTGAACCTATCTCTGACTCAGTGCAAACTGATTATTTTTTTAACCCTTCCCTGGAGGAGGGCATGACAACCCACTCCAGCATTCTTGTCTGGAGGATCCCATGGACAAAGAAGCCTGGCAGACTACAGTCCATAGGGCCGCAAAGAGTCGGACACAGCTGAAGCGACTGAGCATGCACATGCATTATCTAGGAAAATGATATTTTTAAATCCCAGATTTCATCCATTAAAAGTCACTCCATGTTAGTCATCCTCAGCAGAGTGAAACCCTCCCAGCCAGGTTGTGACACTATAAACATGATTTTTAACTAGGTCTCTACAAATCACTGGAGAAGGAAATGGCAACCCGCTCCAGTGTTCTTGCCTGGAGAATCCCAGGGATGGGAGAGCCTGGTGGGCTTCCGTCTATGGGATCACACAGAGTCGGACACGACTGAAGTGACTTAGCAGCAGCAGCTACAAATCATGTTCTGAAGAATACCAAGGTCATGTAATTCTCACTGAATAAAAGGGACATAAATGTGTTAAATACTAAGGTTCCGTCCTCACTATAGAGTTTACTGAGCACAAAGTCTCAGCTATTAAAAAAAAACTTCTTAACATAGTTAACATTGCTCATCAAATGCTTTTCATATTAACACTTATTAATAGATTTTAGAACTAGGAACCCTTGGGTTGGAGGAAGGAACAAATAAGGAACACTCTCCTATATTTTATTCTGTACAGTCCACACTGAGATGGTCAACCTTACAATAACTCTGTACGCCAGGATGGAAAGTGTACACATTATTCATTTTTATGGGTACCCTTGCTGTATCTGGCCAGTTTACACCTGGGGTAAAGAGTGGGCTCACACATGGTGAGAAACCAAGGAGTGTTTGCAGAAGGAACAAAAAGACCTGCTTTCCTTCCTCCTTGAGAGAGAGTTAGGTGGGCTGCCAACCAGCCATTCCCTCTTTCAAGTCTCTTTGGAATGTGAAATCCAGCACCTGCCACTGTTTTACTTGAATCAGGTTTTTGTGTGCAAGAAAAAAAGATTTGGATGATTGATTTTGTTCAAACAAATGAAGATTACCCAAATAGGAACAAACAGGTTACATATCCAGAGCATGGGTGTCAGCTCTTATCACTTATGTTTGGCCAACTCAAAGGCAGGAGGGAAGTGGGGAACTTCTGTCTAACAAAAGGGAAGATTTCAAAGACTCTTGACAGGAGGTTGTTGGAAAGGGGAAGCCAGTTGGGTTAACTAGAAGTGTCTGGTTGGTTTGAGAACATTTGGTTTTCCCTGATGGCCCTGTGTTGGGAGCAAGGAGCAAAACACAGGGAAGCTGGCAGTCACTGACCAAGTTCTGAGCTGCTTGCTGCAGAGTTTTGAAGTCAGAATTCTACTGCCAAATATGGTCTGGCCATTGTTCATCTGTATATTAAGTCTCTAAGTATATAATATGGGCTTTTGATGCTTTAGCAATACCAATCTAATTAAACCTACTGACCCTTGAAAATTTCCAGAGTGTCTGCTGTGCCTGTTCTGGGCTTCTTCTGAACAATGACATTAATTATGTGTGCTATTTGTATGCAAATGCTTACATAGAATAATACACATAGTAAAGTAAATGCACACGTTTTATCATTGCAGTGTGATCTGGTAGATGTTTTGCTTTCCCATTTCATGGTGTCCACTGCACGCATTGGCAGGTTTTCAGGGTCGGTTTTGAATTAGCAGGCCTACTAGCATTGCTGTTTCTGAGGAAACTGCTTACATCTCTGTGCATGGATAATCTGGTTTGCTTTGTTTTCTCTTTATTTTTTTAAACGTCTATTAAAGCCTTTGAATTTACCTAAGGGTGGTGATAAATACACACAAAATATCAACCCCCAAACCTGGTATGAAATGAAAACAGCTCCTACAGTTTAGTAAAGGGGCGATTCTGCACCCCCCATTCCCCGACCAGTAAAAATCTACAAGAGTGGTCCCCAAATCTTGAATGAATGAAAACCAATTGAAAAGAGGTATAAGATAGGAAGTCAGAAATGTAGCGATTCACAGGCCATTTTAATATACTTAAGAGACTTGGGTTTAACAAACATTTAACCTTTTTGTTTTCCCTTCTGGTTACAGTTGACATGAATTGTCAGGTTGACAGTGTAAATGACCCAACAGAGAGTCAGCAAGAAGATTAACTAAGGTAAGTTGCCTCTGTGGTGAGATTTTCAATTGATTAAATGGGCCAGCCATAGGAACTGTTTGTAAAAGGCATATTGGATTTCCGTCAGTTCTATCAAGTCCCACAGCATGGCTCAGGCTAAGCTTTTAAAATCTTTATGCCAAATAACATATTATAAGGAGCTAGGATTACCCCTAGAAGCTCACCATCTTTAAACGAAAAAGATAAGCTACAGCATCTCCAGATTGTGTAGTACTGGTTTTCTGAGCTTTGACAAGAAAACAATTTTTCCATCTAGCTCACCCCCTGGCTTCCTGGAGTGAACAAATTATTGCAGCAACCCCAAGCTGATTCTGAAGTATTGCTTTTCCAGAAGCTACCTGCTGAGTTGTTTAGTATATCTGTTTTTAAGCATAACACTAAATCTTTGCCCTGGAGAATGTAAAAGGCGTTTGAGCGTGTTTGGGCTGAGAGAAGCCCGCCTTACGTTTTGCCCTCTTACCCCACTACCTGTGGACCTTTGCATCTGTACAAAGGTTTGTTGGGTTGAATGAGCCCCAGGAAACACCACAGGAAAATAAATGGGACCAGATGATGTTTAGGAGATTTTCTAGACCAACATTCTAAATCACTCAGCCAAGACTAAAGTGTATCTAGAATACTGAGTGGTCTGTTACCCTTTTTTGTACCTTGAGGGCTGGTGAGAAGAATTAAAGAAGCCAGGTTTGCTATTCTGATTCCTAGCTTAAAATGCTTAGCTGTGAAAAAATCCTATGGGATAAATGAACTGTGTGTAAATGAACTGTGTGTTACCTGGAGCTAGACACAGATGTGTTGACATCCTTGCCTGTCGACTGAAGGAAAAAGACACAACCTAAAAGTTGAGAATTATGTCTCACTCGATGACTTTCTGTGGACTTCAAGCCCAGACTAGCTCTGGGGGGCTGCTCCAAAGAGGTAAAGGAACAACCAGGATTTTTTGGAGTTTTGCAATAAAGATCAGGTAGCCACAACATCAAAAGGAAAACCAGATACCTTGAATTAATGAATTTAGTGCTTTTCTATATATGGGAAGGTGCAAGAGTCTGGGCTCATTGAAATCACTCCTTCGCTAAGCACCTTAGCTACCTAGGGCCACTATCCTGTTCTTCCCCATCCTGAGTCCCCTCGGTACACTGCTGGGGGTGGCTACAATGGTTGAGGGCTTGGCACCAGGCAGCCTGCTCGTCTCCATCCTGACGGCTCACTGTGGGGGCCACAGTATATGGCAGGCACCATTTTTCTCTCACAGTGCTTCCCCTTGGTCAAAATCTGACCAGCCTTCGGAGACATTTCATGAGCAATTTTGTGGCACAGTGCTAGGAATGGCTCATTCCTAAACCAGACAGATATTCTGTTGATCGGTCACTCAATGTGTTATTTTTTTTGGATTAGGTCCTGTTGATAATTAAAATTCTCTGGATTGCTTGCATTACTAGTCTATTATGATCCAGGAAATGTTTTCCCCTGTGGCTTCTTCCCATATCTAGAGTTGCACTATTACAATTATTTTATGTAGAGTTACGTGTATATGGTGGATTAACTCAAGACTTTTAGCCATCATTGGTTCTGTTGGAGACCTGGTTACACACTGGGTAATACAAGAGACAATCTTATAAATTAGACAATAGGCAATACAGCTAGTAATATTAATAAAGTCATAGTACAGTAGAGATAGATACAAAGCATAAACAATTTGGAAACAAACAAGAACAAGCTAAAATAATGACTAGTATAAATAGCTGTAATCTGGTTGCAATAAATCATCAGGTCCACAGATCTAACTGGAGAAGTCAAATCCTAGAAGGATCAGGTAGAGAGAAAAAGATGTTTCATGTTTGTTTACAGAAGTATACTTTGTCAACTTGTTGAGGGCAGTAGCATAAAAGATTTTTCTTTTAGAAAACAAAAATTAAGAATATATTTCCCAGAAAGTCACAATATCACAAATTATACTTATCAGTTAATTAATTCCTGATGATCTAGGTGAAATCTTCAGGTTTTTCCATTAGAGTTTTGTAATTTCTTACCCAGCTCAGTGATATGATCTAAAAGTGATCAGAAACTTCTATTTGTCAAAAATCCTTTCTATGAATTTTCTTAAAGACCTTCATTTTTATAGAAGTATCAAAGTAAAACAATGATTGGCTTTAAATAGCAAGACTTAAAAAGGCTTGGTTAAAGATCAAATTATAATGCACTTGACAATAAACTTGGATATTGCTGTGACATATAAGATTTCAAGATAAAAACTAGAATTTGTGACATATAAGATTTTAAGATAAAAACTGGAATTATGATCAATATTATACCAGGGCATATCAGATTTTTAGGAATTCATGTACATTTTAAGATATCTGTATTAATGACAATAATCCACAAAATATAACCTAAGGTTCATCTCTAATCAGTTGACAACGTTTCTCAAGTAATTTAACATACCATAAGCCTAATTAGTCTGATATTCTTCTCTGAGATGCCATAGGGGTCCTCTGAAGCCTTTTTAAGTTAGCTGGAGATGTTAATTAAAACTTGATGGGAAGTTTGTCAAAAATAACAAAAAGTTTTAAAACACTTGGTCAAATAAGATCACAGTGAACACTTAACCAAAGTTGGCAAAAGAGTTCAAAAGTAAAAACAGCTCACTTAAAGGCCCAGAAACTCACCCAATGCTATCAATGCTGTACTCCAAGAAAACTTTATTCTCTTAACAGCGAGAAAATGAAACTCCAGGCTTACACCAGCTTACTTTCAACAACAAAATCCATCTACTTTATTAAATTCAATCTAAATTCAGTCAGTCCTGACCATGCACAAAACTCTTTTCTCAGGGTTTATTTTCCAGCCACTTTCTGTATGCTTATTATTTTGTCCCCTATTTTTTCCCCATCTAGAAAGAACCAACTTTGGGACAAAATTATTTTCTTTTCCCTTAAAAAAACACAATTCCATCTTTCGTACCTTCTTTTGTCACAACACACATCTTCCTTTCCTACTGTGTACTAAGAAGAAGTAAGCAATTATGAACTACATTTGCGTTCTGTAGTTTGGCATGGCAAACAAATATCAATAATAATTTCTAAAAACATGTGCTTTCTTATAAAAAATATCTCAGTGTGGCACCAAACATACATATGAATAGCTCTAAATATCTTTAGCTTCTCTGTAAAGGAAGAGACTGTCTCAGCATCTTATTTGGGAATGACCTAGCTCTTCAATAAGCTTCTACTGTTTAACTTCATTTAGCACAGTTCTTCAACTTATCAAATTTATGAAGAGATTATTTTCAAGTTTGACATTCCTAAAGCATAGTTATTTCTAAAGAGTTCACCCCAAAACTTATCTTGTCTCCTTTATGGTGTATTTATAAGAATTTCATCATACCAAGTTAATTTTTTATTGTTGACAAACTCTGTAACAGAAATAAATGTATTGACCTTCATTAAACCTAGGTAAAAGACAAGTCTTTATTGATTAAACCAGCAATCTTAAGCTTGATGCCAGATGTTAATTTAATACTGAATACTTTCTAGATTTTTTGAACCTAAAATTCATTCTGGCCTGCTTCTTTCATATTTAGAAATATTTAGTTCATAGGCACTTTAAAGTAAATTAAACAGAGCTCTTTTATAAGTTTAATTTTGATAATATTTCCCAGAGGTAGAGACGTCTCATATGTGTAATGTGTACACAGAAAAAACTAGAGCTCTCATAGCTTCAGTTAAAAAAATTTAGTTATGAATCAGATATTGCAATGTAAACCTACTACTTTATAAATAACAGTTGGAATACATTAAAGTTGCGTGCTCAGACGAGCAAGGCTTCACTAGTCATGGAAAACACTTTAAGATTGGTATTTGTTCTTGATAAGCCCTTACCCCAAAGGAGGCTATGAAGTGAATTTTGGCCGAGAGACCCTTTCCAGAAGTTTTGAAACTCAGCAGGACCTTGTGGGGCCCTCTGGGTACAAATCCTTTCCCTGTCCCTTTCTTGTTTGTAGGAAATAAGCTTCCTTCAGCTTTCTTAACTCTTCCCTGGGTTCCAAAGAGCAGATTCCAACAATTGCTTACCGGGGAATGAAGAAACAGAGGAGGGGCAGTCAAGAGACAATCATGCAGCGATAAAGCGATAAAGCGGGCTCCTGGTTCCTCCTCGAGGAGTATGCATGACAACAAAATGTTTGAGCTCTGCTGCAGGAACTCAGGCCCCCACTTCAGGCTGAGCACAAGGCTCACTGGGCACCACCCTTGACCTCACCACCGACCGATCAGAAGAAAGTACAAACCTGTAGCCCTCAGCCCAAACTTTGCCTAGTAAACACTTCTCCCCCCAGACCATCTGGGAGTTCAGGGTGGTGCCTGTTCTCCGTACTTGGCCCTGCAGTGAACTGCTATTTGCTCCAAACTCTGATGTTTTGGGGTTTTGGCCTCCCTAGGCATCAGGCGCAGGAACTTGCACCCAGTCACAATTTAAAAGGGCCACTTTTGCCCTTTTTCCCCTTGGTTTCAGGTTCTACTTGCTTGAGCTAATTAGACCCAGTCTCAGGTCATTGTGGGCTGTACTTAACATTTCTCATTTGTAGAAATTAACAAGGCAAAGACAGTTGCTTTTAATTCTCCAGAGAATTGTCACCTAAATGATATTTTAAAATTGATTTGCCGAACTATATCTTATTTAATTTGCCTTTGAGAGAGAATATGTTCTAAATTCTAGGGCTTTAGACTTTAACTTAATCATGTCTTCAAAAGCTTGCATAAGGTATTCAAGGCCCTCTTTCTGAGTGCACAAGTTAAACCCAAAGAAAAATCACTGATTTTATTACTATTAGCCCTTGAATATTAGCTCCCAGTTTTTACTTTATATGGTAAAGCTCAGGTAGCCCTACTGGTTTCCTTTAGTATGTTTAATCGCTATTTCCTGAGGGTGAAATTATATGCCCTGTCTTATAATACCAACCAGGGGAAGCACTCCCCAGTG